TTCCTGGCAAGCTGGTGCTGCTTGTTTGTCTAAAAAAATGCCTGGCAAAAATGCCCCATAGGCCAGGCGTGGTAGCTCATGGCTATAATCCTAGCACTCTGGGAGGGCGAGGCAGGAGGATCGCTCAAGGTCAGGAGTTCGAAACCAACCTGAGTGAGACCCCGTCTCTACTAAAAATAGAAAGAAATTAATTGACCAACTAAAAATATATATACAAAAATTTAGCTGGGCATGGTGGCGCATGCCTGTAGTCCCAGCTACTCGGGAAGCTGAGGCAGTAGGATTGCTTGACCCCAGGAGTTTGAGGTTGCTGTGAGCTAGGCTGACGCCATGGCATTCACTGTAGCCTGGGCTGCAAAGTGAGACTGTGTCTCAAAAAAAAAAAAAAAAATGCCCCATGATGATTTATCATGCAAAGGAACCCCTGAACCTCTCGAACTCATCCCGCATTCCATGTGTCAGGAATGAATAGAAAAGCATGCGCTGGCAGAGCTAAGATTTGCCTCTTCTTGGGGCCAGGGCTGGGCATTGGGTTCCTTTAGACTATGTGTTGACACAGAAGGTGTCAGTTTACAGCAGAGATGGCAAAATGGCAAATACTCTCCTTGCCTGCACCACTGGCCCATCCCCCACCCAGGACAGACATCAGTGAGTGCAGAACTCCTTCCCAGACAAGACTTCAGTTTCCTCCTCGACACAGCACCCATGTTGCCACAAACAAGAAGCTGGAGTTGACTCAGAAAATGCAAATTATTCGCCACCCCAGCTCTATATCCACCTTCCCAAGGCACTGTTCTAATCCAGGGGTGCGGGACCTTTTCATGTTGGAAGGCCACATTAATTTAGCTGTAATCAAATAAGGCCACAATCAAGAAACTTCAATTAGATATACTTTAAAAATGTATATTAGTTTGTAAAATTCTAACTATTATGTACTTAATAATTTCAAAAGATGAAAACTATTTGTTAACTTTAAAGTTAACTAACCTTTTAATGACTTTGTTGAACCTAAGTGGACATATAGGAATAACATTTATCGGGTGTCAGACAGATGGGAGGGGGATGGGTATTTACATACACAGTGAGTGCAATGCGCACCATCTGGGTGATGGACATGCTTGAAGCTCTGACTCGAGGTGGGGGGCAAGGGCAATATACATAACCTTAACATTTGTACCCCCATAATATGCTGAAAAACAAAAATGACTTTGTTGAGTCTGCTTTTTGTTGGAAAGGATTTTTTTTTTTTTTGCTTCATTTCTTTAATCAATTATGTTGGAAAGGATTTGAATGTTTGGTTGCGGCATGGAAACTGCAGTCTGCAGTGTCCATTGATCTTCTAGATGGCTATCAGTCATTTGTGACCTTAAGGGCGTCTTGATTTGAGTTAGACAGGAGAATGTAGATTCACAGCAATAAGTGGTTGAAAAGCAAGAAGGCATTTTGGGGGCATGTTGCCAAAGGTGTGGATATTCCACTTCCACTGCATTTTTCCATATTCCATTTGGATCTTTCTTAGCATCAATGACTTTAAAATGCCTTCTACTGAGAGCTCAGTCAATTCCATCTGTAGTTCTATAGGTGCCTTGGTGATATCAACTACATGAGGCTGAAATGCTAATTTGGGTGTGATGTCATGATTCTCAAAGTCAGTGAATCTTTCCTTGTATTCTCCAATTAGTAGGTCTATAGCAGCTGCTTATTCTTCAGATGATTTGTGTATATCATCCTGCCCATCAGTGACCTTTGCTAACTGGGGAAAATGTTCACCTGAAATTTCCTTTTGAAGAAGTGTTTTGAAAAAAGGTATCATTTTTTGAAATGCTTGGATTTTTTTTGCCACATATTATATATAGACTTAGTTTTATCTTGCAAAGAAATATTTAAGTCATTTTGATTTGACATGATATCCATATAGAAATGCTGTATTCCCATATCAATCTTCTTTCACTAATCACATTGCTGATTCTGTTCTTCATAAAATTTAACTATCTATTCCCATAGAGATAAAATTTTGGCTAATAGCTGTCCCTGCCATAGTCAGCCCACTTTAGAATGATATAGCAAATCCACATTGAATACCTCGTCATTCAACTTTAGCATGTCATGAAACTGGTGATGCCACGCTGCATGTGCACCAATATGTTAACATATTGGTTAACTCGTTGCAAGGTGTCACTTAAAATAATAGCTGTAGCACAGAGATTTTGCTGATGCAAGATACAATGAAAAGAAATGAGATTATCTGGATCTTTTAATATTTTTTTTATCTGTGCAATAAACCCTTCATGTTTTCCTGTCATGGAAGGTGCACCACCTGTACGTACACTCACTCATACCAAATTCAGTCCAACTTCAGGACATTTATCTTGAAAGTTGTTGAAGATATCTATTCCCGGTGTTCTGTTCACCAGAGTGCCCAAAGTGAGTAACTCTTTATAGCAAAGAAAATCTTCTGTTATGACCTAAATGAAGTAAAAAACCTGATCCAAGTCAGGAGTATCAGTTGATTCATCTAAAGCAATTGAATAATATATATTTTCCTTTTGAAGTATTCCGTGAAGTTGTTCTGTTAAGTCAAAGGCTAATTTATGTTGCTGATCAGTTGTGGTTCTCCTCAAAAGAGGCAGTTGTTCATACTTTGAAATGTTATTGGGGTCTAAGCATCCCACAACTTTGACAATGCATTTTTTCACAATTTCTACATCACTGAATGGCTTCCCTTTTTTCCCCTGAGTATATAAGCTATTTTATAAGTTGCGTCAGTGGCATTATTTCCAGGTCATGTTGCTGCTTGAAATAATTGAATTTGCTTTTGCTTTTCATCTTTTCATTTCTGCAGTATAACCTTTCACGCCTCTCCCTCTAATTTAAAATATCTGTGGTCCTTATCAGTGTTGTAATGCTGATGAACATTGAATTTCTTTAATGTTGATATTGTAGTATCATTGAAGCAAGCATATCATTGTATCCTTAGCAGAAACAAGATAATACTGCATTTCTCAATCCTCATTAAAAAAATCTGTTTTCTTCCTTCAGCGTTCTCTTGACCTTCTTTGACATGAGGGGCTGTTAAGCAGACAGAATTAAAAAAATACTATCGAGGCCGGGCGCGGTGGCTCACGCCTGCAATCCTAGCTCTTGGGAGGCCGAGACGGGCGGATTGCTCAAGGTCAGGAGTTCAAAACCAGCCTGAGCAAGAGCAAGACCCCATCTCTACTATAAATAGAAAGAAATTAATTGGCCAACTGATATATATATATAAAATTAGCCGGGCATGGTGGCGCATGCCTGTAGTCCCAGCTACTCGGGAGGCTGAGGCAGAAGGATCGCTCAAGCCCAGGAGTTTGAGGTTGCTGTGAGCTAGGCTAACGCCACGGCACTCACTCTAGCCTGGGCAACAAAGCGAGACTCTGTCTCAAAAAAAAAAAAAATACTATCGAGCTGTGCAACTATTCACAAATTCCACTTCAAACAGAAACACAGTGCACCACTGTCAAAAGCTGATAACAAAATAGCATACTCGACCCCCATAAGCGTGCAGTAGTGGCGCCAGCCAGGCAGGGGAAGTTAGAACTAAATCATGAGCATAGCAGCTGTCAATTTAGCCCTTATGGCTTACTAATGTTCTAATCATGCTGGTCAGTCTGAGAAGATTATTTCATTGAAATTTATATTATTCTTTGGTATTTTAAATGCATTCATTTAAAAAATAAAATAAAAATATAAAAGATGAACAAAAATGGATCAATAAAAATAAAAGGATTTATTCTGTAAAATTTGGATTCAGTCAAAAGGCACACACTTAAAGACATAGAAGGCCACATGTGGCCTTAAGGCCATAGGTCCCTCACCCCAGCTGTGACCTATATGGCCACTTTGTACAGAATTGGAAAAGAGGCTACTCTCAACCCCGGTGGTCTGAAATCTTAGTTAGAAGGCACCTTTGTGCGTGTGCGTGCACTCTCGTGCGCGCGCGCACACACACACACACGTGCACACACACACAAAGGGTACCTCCTTCCATGGATGCAGCCTCCTGTTGCCGGGGCACACAGCTTGGTAAACATGTGTACCCACAACCAATACACTGTAATACTAGCTGTATTCCAGCCCCACTAACCCAGGTATCTCTGTGCAGGGCACAGATGGTAAACCATAAGAGCAGCCTGACCCCTCCAGACCTCACCCACAGGCTCTTGACCAGCCTTTAGGATTAGATGAAAGGGGGGTAGATCTGCAAACCTTAAACTCAGCCTGCTGTTCCCTGAAGGTTCTGACTTGTGGAAAGTGCTCGGACTTCTGGAGACTGTCCCCTTCCTAGCAGTGTGACACAGGCAAGTTGAGTCTCCTCTCCTGACTGTTTCCTCATGTATGAAATCCTCCTGGCCTCTGGAAGTCCTCAGGGAGTGCTTGCTTGGTTTCATGGCTAGACAGAGGAACCGGGTGCGGTGGCTCACGCCTGTAATCCTAGCACTCTGTGAGGCCGAGGCGGGTGGATCACTCAAGGTCAGGAGTTCGAAACCAGCCTGAGCAAAAGCAGGACCTCATCTCTACTAAAAATAGAAAGAAATTAATTGGCCAACTAAAAATATATAGAAAAATTAGCCAGGCATGGTGGCGCATGCCTGCAGTCCCATCTACTAGGGAGGCTGAGGCAGAAGGATTGCTTGAGCCCAGGAGTTTGAGGTTGCTGTGAGCTAGGCTGATGCCACAGCACTCTAGCCAGGGAAACAGAGTGTAACTCTGTCTCAAAAAAAATAAAAGACCCCCTAATGGTTGTCGGAAGCCACGGATAGTATCAAACCCTGTATATACTATGTTTTTTTCCTATACCTACATAACTATAATAAAGTTTAATTTATAAATTAGGCACAAAGATGAGCAAGAGCTAATAATAAAATAGAACAGTTATGAAAATACACTGTAATAAACGTTATATGAATGTGGTCTCTATCTCAAAATACCTTACTATACTGTACTCACCTTTCCTGTGATGGTGTGAGATGTACAATGCCCACGTGATGAGGCGAGGGGAGGCGAATCATGTGGGCATTGTGATGTGGCCTTAGGCTGCTAGTGACCTTCTGATGGCACAGCAGTGGGAGGAGCATCTGCTTCCGGTGATCAGGGGCCATCAAGCTGTGACAATGTCAATGGTTGGTTGTTAGGAACAGATGATATCTGCCAGTGGGCAGCGTCACAGTGTGGCTATGCTGGACACAGGGACGATTCATGACCCGGGCAAGAGATTTCATCGCGCTGTTCAGAGTGGAACCCAATTTCAAACTTATGAATTATTTCTGGAATTTTCCACTTAATTTTTTTGGACCACAGGTAACTGAAACCACAGAAAGCAAAACCACAGATAAGGGAGAACATCTATGCGTTTTATCAATAGCCTCTTAGCAAACCTCAAGCTGTGGACCACAGGCCCCCAGGGGTCACTGGCCAGTGCGGATGATGTCTGGTCAGTCACGGCCAGTGATCAAAATGTGAGTGTGTCCTCTTGTGGGTGATGAGGAGAAACAGCTCTGGAATTTCTATGTATCCAGGCTTGTGGCACACCTGTTTGGGGGATGGGAATTAAGGCATCCTAAAGCTGAATGCGCAGAGTGCTCCACATTGTTTTGAGAAAAGTCGTGCCCACACCAAAGAATGGAAGGGAAGCTGGCTGATGGAGACCTTGGCCTTCCTTGCCCACTTGGAATCTTTCCGTGGCAGCCCACTGGACAAAGTCCAAACACCTACTGGGCATGGCATTCAAGGCCTTTTTGACATCTGACTCCTGACCACCTTTCTACCCCAATTGCAGGTACGACCTACCCCCAACCCCTACACTGCATGTGTACCCCATCTTCCAGCAAAATGAAATAACTGGCCTTTCGACACCCGTAATGACTAACACAGTCATTATTAAGGATTTGATTATATAAGATTGCAACTAAAAGCATAAATTATATTAAAACAAAAGTAGTAAGCACTCAAAACACATCAGGACCTCCATGCCTTTGCATATGCTCTTCCCCCACCAGGAAGAGCCCTCTCTTTTAGTCTTCCTGGAAGTCTCCTCTCATCCTTCAAGGCCCAGCTGAAAAACAGATTTTCTCAAAGAAGCCCCTTGCAGTCACAACCCCCACCCCACTCTCACACATACCCTTAGATGTCTCTCTTTTATTCTCGGCTATGGGGTGTGTGCATGATATTATGACATTTGGAAGATGGTCAGTCTTCCCTTCCCACCCCTCCCGCCCAGCACCACCACTGGACGATAAGCTCCTCAAGGAGCTCTAAGCCCCTTTGCCTAACCCAGCTCCGGATCAGAGCCGGGCCTCTGTTTACTTAAGAAACGAATGAATAAACTCAGAGAGCCTCTTGTGGTTTGCAGACTCAGAAACAGGAGATTGTCGAATCTGGGCTGGAACGACTCAGAGACTCCGAGGATTACAGAAACGCAGGGGGCTCTGGCAGGGAGCGTGGATGTTCCCCAGGCATCTGTCCTCCCCCGTTTCTCAGCCTCCCTTGCAGCTGGGTGGGAGCCAAGTGGTCGTTCTCAGCGGGAAGGTGAGTAGAAGCCACGTCTCCCTCTTGCAAGGCAGCGAGAGTGGGTGTGGGCCCGCCACGTTTTCTCCCTCCCATCCTTGAGGTGAAAAACCCATGGTTCTGGGGTTTTCCTGTTGGCTCACAAAGTGATATCAGGTCAGGGGTATTGTTTTCCCTGGTCTCTGCCATTGATAAGACAGAAAAACAGCTCCCACGATAACATTGATGCTGCCAGCCCTTCCTGCCGCTGGCCTTCCTGGTTGGAGTCCTCCCCTGTGCTCCTTCCTCTCTCTCCTCCTGGGCTGAGAGTCAGGCCAAGAGGCCTCGGCGGGCCGAGGAGCTGGGGGTGAGGCTCCCACCTTCGCTTGCCTCTGCAGGCTCTTAGCTCCTTCTGACCTTGACCTTCAGCCCTGCACAGCACCCTAGGCAAGGGGGGTACTGAACCCTCATACTGACTCACTAGAGCCAATCGCTCAATTTTTAGGGATTTTGTAGGCCGGTTGTAAAACAGTCATTATTAAAAATTATAAGATTATATAAGATTGCAATTAAATACATAAATCGTATTAAAACAAAAGCAATAAACACTTGAAACCCCTACTTTATTACATTTTACCGTCATCTATCCTCGCGAGGTGGTTTACGTATTATATTTACATAATGGAAATATTGTATAATTGTATACTGGCTATTCATCTCTTCCCAGTCTGCATTTGTCATAGAAGGAGCTTAAAAAGCAGTGGGAACATTTACATCATGGAAATCAGTGAACACTACAAATCCAGGATTTTTTTTTTTTTTTTGAGAGCTGGTTATTAAACATTTACCAAGATGCCACTGCTCCTAGGTACTTTCTCTAAGATCCACCCCTGAGGGCCGTGTGGTCCCAAGGCCATGCAGTGACCTCCAGGTAGGGGCAGGATGACAGTCCAGATCTTCTGAGGCCTCCACAATGACACACACTTGTCTTCCTGCCGCACTTTCCTGCCATGAGTCCGTCAAATACACTCTAGATGCACAGAACATTGTTTCAAGTTTCCCCTTACTTTAAAAGAAATTCTTTCACAATGGCAATTGTAACAATTCTTGTTAACTGTGTGATATATACCAGTCTTTTTTCCTATGCCTATCTACATGCATAATTTTCACCGTAAAAGCAGATCAAAACCTTCATATACTGTTTTTAATTTGAAGCTGGCTTTTGTTTTTCAATTCTGCAACATAATGTGAACGTTTTTCTAAGTCAAGGTTCATCCTACTCCAAGAGATTGACTACCTCTTTTCCCTGACAGAGCTATATTATAGTTTTGTCATCGGACAGACTTGGTTCAGATCTCAGCTCTGGCATGTATTTGCTGAGTGATGGAGAGCAAGGCAAGTGAACTCTCTGTGCTCCTGTGAAACATAGACAACAATAGCACCTATTTCATAGCATTGCCCTGAGAATTAAATGAATGTGTGTAATGCTCTTAAAGCTGCCTAGTGCAGAGCACGTTCTGAGTAGATGCTAACTAATTTTTTGTTGTGCCTTGGCATTTCACTGTGGGGTTGCTCTCTACCTGCTGTGGAACCTCCCTCCAGCTGACTCTTCAGACTAGAGCAGGAACAATTAAGTTGGGTGAAAGTGCACTGAAATTGACATTGCCCAAACAGAACTCTCAATTACCTACAAATCTGCTCCTTAGCCGGGCTAATCCATGCCAGTAATCAACACTGCTGTTCTCCCAGCAACACAAGCCAAAAACTAAGTCGTCACTAATTCCGCTCTCTTTCCTTACATCTAATCCATTAAGTTCTGTCCATGCTGTTCCTAAAATACAGAATACCCACCTGCCTCTGTCCCCACCACCAACATACTGCTCCAATCTGCTTTCCCCTTGTGCCAGAATTTTTGCAATATCCTCCTCACTGGGCTTCCTGCTTCTTTGCTTGCCTCCCCCCTCCATGTATTTTACACCCAACAGCCACGGTAATATCTTAAAAGTAGTGCGATCTGTAGGTTACAACCAATTAGTGAGTTGTGAAATCCGTATAGCGAGCCATAAACTGGCTTTTATTTTAATGAAATGAGAGAATCCAGACTATTAGAATACATGGTACAAGCATCTATTGTTTTGTGATACTTTTCTTTTATTTAAAAACACATAAGCTTGTATACATAGCTGGTGTGCCTGATCATAATATAACAACGATTTCTTAAGATATTCTTAAATATTCTTAAGATATTCTTAAATATCTCTTAGATGTCAGTGTGCCCCTGCTCAAGATCCTCTAGTAGCTTCCACCACATTTGAAAAAAGTGTGAGCCCTCACCCTGCCCACAGGCCCCGCCCACAGCATCTGCCCTGCGCCTCCTCTCCGAGCTCCTTTCACCCACTCTCTTTCCAGTCACTGGCCTTTTTGTTCTCCTAACACCCTCAGCTTGTTTGCTCCTGTGGGTCTTTGCACTAGCTGTTCCCGCTGCCTGGACCACTCAGCCCCAGTGTCTGCATGGCTGCATGGCTGCATGGACCATTCTGCCTTCAACCAAATAGTGCTTCCCTGCTCATTATCTGTTGGCTTATTACTTGTTTCCCCCCATAAGAAGACAGCCCCACAAAGGCAGGGACCTTATCCATCTCACCCAGCACACAGCCTGGCACACAGCGAGGCATCGCCCCATGCTGGTGAACCAATGCACTGGCCCCAGCCCCTCGGGGCAAGGCTTGGCATCTCTGCACAATTGGAAACCAGCTTGCAGGTCTCCCTGAGCCCCAACCCAGGCTGAACCCTCTCCAGCTCGCCCCCTCCTTTTATGGCTGAGATAAATGAGGCTCAAAAAGATAAGAGATGCCATCATAAGGTCACGGAGGGATTGAATGGGGGAGTGAGGAGTGCAGCCCTGGTCTTCTGATGCCACTGTCTCCTGCTGCCTCTGAACCCCTAGTCTGCAGCCAACAGCTCTGTCCTTGAGCCTACCTTAGGTCCCAGCCCTCTGGGAGTTTCTGGCTGACACCATCCTTTATCAGATGGTTTGGCACCTTTATTCCTCTTGTGTTGTTATTTTATTTAACGTTGTTGTGTTTTATTTTTTGCTGGTTTCCATTTCATTTCATTTCATTATCCTATAATAACAGTCTGCCAGCTTCTGGGTTCTGGTGATGGCTAATGATTTATTAGCCAATCTGAGCTTTGGTCATTTCCCTTCTCCCTGCCTCTCCCTCCTTGCACATGGTGGCTTTCTCAGAGGATTCCTCTTCTCTTGCACCCTGCCCACCCCCTTACTAGGTGGAAGGCCTTGCTCACCTTGCACCAGGGCATAGTCTTGGCACCATGCTCCCCAGGGCCTGGGTGGGTTCCAGGGTTTGCAAGAGCTCCCCCTACCCAACATGCATGAGCAGGCGTCCTTCCCAAGAGCCCTTCCTTCATGGCCTCCCACTCTAGGAGCTCAGCAAAATTGCTCCTGGAACCTTTGGGCATAGGGATCTGCTGTGCCTGCTTCCCAGGGCTGGGTGAAGACCAAATAAACATAGCAGATGTGACTCCCTTTGTCAGCTCCGGGCTCTATCTGCTCACCTGCAAGTGCACGTAGCATCCTTTCTTACCTCATTGGCCCTCCTGTCCCCAGGCGGCCCTGTCAGTTTTCAGGCCTCCCATACTAGATACAGTTCTGAGTCCCTTCCCCAGGCTGATGTCCTTCTCTGAGCTGTGCTCAGACCCGGCCCTCCCCTCCCAGTCTCCTGGGCCACTAGGAAGGCTCTCTGATTTAGTAGGCCATGCTGGCCTGCTCCCTTTCCTTTTAGATTGCCAGAATTATCAATAGAAAGCAAAACAACAACAAAACAAAAAGCATGAAACAAGGCAGCCCAGTTAAATTTGAATTTCAGATAAACAATGAATAATTTTAAAGTATAAGTCTGTCCCATGCAATATTTGGGTTATATGTATACTAAAAAATTTATTTATTCATTGTTTATCTGAAATTAAATTTTAACTGGGTATCCTGTTCCTTATCTGGAATTAGGGAGTTCCGGGGTTCCCTCATTTACTATACTTGGGTCAATCACCTAAACCACACTCAGCCTTGGTTTCACTTTCTGAAAATGGGAAGCACAAATACATAACTCTCAAGGAAGTTATGAGGCTGAGAAAAAAAAATGTCTGGGAAAGTAAAAAAAAAAAAAAGTGCAATCCATGCAGGGGGTTGAGCAAATCTCATTCTCTGGCCTAACAAAACCTCCACAATATCTAGAGATGGGGACAGCATGGCCTCCACCCTCCCCAGTAAAGCCTCCCAACTAGGTGCCTCTCCCCTCTCGAAAAGCCCCTGCTTGGCGAGCCACTTGGCATTGGCCCTGCCACCTTTCCCCATGCTGTGCCACCTTTCCTCATGCTGTGTCACCTTCCCCCACGCGGTGCTCAACTGCCTGCAAGCCCCATCGCTCCCTGGTGGCATCTCACGGGGGCACTGCCTTTCTCTGCATCCCGAGCTGAGTGGGTCAGCCTGAGTGGCTGAGCATTAGGGTGAGCCTCTGCCTTGCTCTGCTCAGGACAGTCCAGACTCACGCCTGGTGTCCACTTTTGTTGTTTCAATGACCTTCTTTGTATCGATGGCTCCCATATTGGTTTTCTTTAGATGCCGTAACAAATCACCACGAACTTGGTGGCTTAAAACACCAAAAATAGTTTCTATCGCATGTATTGTTAAAAAGAGATTTTTTTTTTTAAAGGTAAAATCGTGCCTCTCACACGGCTGTAAAATGAACCGTGAATCAAGCCTATATTCTGGGTGGATGATAAACGCCTCCTTTTACTTTCAAAAGTGGCCAGTAAATAACATGCGACCTATCACCGCCCTGCCCTCTTGGTTCCTTGAGTGCCTCATGTCCAGGGCTGGCCATTCCTGCCATGCTCTAGTCCACGCATGTCCCCCGGCCACACTCAGAACCGCCTCCTCTCTGACACTGGAAAATGCAGACGCCTCTCTTTGACCATAACCTCTCTCCTTCCAACTCCACCTCCCAGCTCCTCTTACTCTATTT